GGTGTTGTGAAACAGTAAACATGTTAGCACAGCATAACTGTGCAAAAAACTCTGAGTACATTAGAATTTTTTGCTGTCCTATTTCATTGAATGCAGGGGTGTTGAACAGTGCAGCAGGTCAGGTCTTGAAAACGTTATTTCAGCTATCTTGCCACTAGAGGCCGTTAAAGGCCTCAAAAACTTGTAAATAGGCACACTTGAGGTGAATTCTCCAAATTAGTAGTTAATTATTGGATAACAGGTGAAGGGTGAGATTGGACCATTTGCACATGGGGTTAATTAGGCTTGCATGAGACATTTAAGGGCTTCATGGTGGCAGTTGTTGTTTGTAGTTCTGGTGTGTGTATACCAGATGATTTTCCTTTAATAAACTCCTTTTGCCATACTTTCCATATTTTTGTTTAACATGAAAGCATATTCATTTTATTCAACTCTTTGCACCAGCAGCTCCTCCCAGAAATATTCAGACCCTTCCTACAGTGTCCCAATTTTTTAAATAAAATATTTTTTTCAAAACCTCAGTACTTGGACTGAAGGTTTCTAATGGGAAGAAATGTCACAGGATATATTAGCAAAAAAGAAAAAAACAAATATGTTGATTACTTACGTCTTAAAATCTGGAACTCAGTATTTGGTGGAAGTACATTTGGCATCAATCACAGCTGCAATTTTTATTTTAGTCTCTAGCAACTTTGTGCACTGACCTGGTGCAATTCCTGCCCATTCTTCTTGGAAGATTTGCTCTTTCTCTCTGGTTGCCTGAGGGTCACTTATGGACCGGAGTTTTCAAGGCTTTCCACAGATTTTCAATGGCATTCAAGTTGGGACTTTGACTAGCGCCACTCAAGCACGTTTTCTCTTATTTTTAAGCCACCCAAATGTAACTTTGGGCTTGTGCTTTGGATCATTGTCCTGCTGAAAGATGAAGTCTTCATCCCAGCTTCAGTTCTGAAGCAGGTTTTCCTCTGGGATTTGCCAGTTCTTTGCTTCATCTACTGTATGTTTCCATCAATCTTGACAAGCTTCCCAGCCCCTGATAATGAAATTTAAAACTATAAGATGATGCTGACATCATCATGTTTGTCAATAGGGATGGTGTTGATTCAGTGATGCACTATAGTAGGGTGGGGCAAACTATGGCCCGCGGGCCAGATCCAGCCCACCAGTCAGTTTTAACTGGCCCCTGAGGTAATTTTTTTTTTTAATTCGCCATATTCCACCTTGTTTGGTGCTATTTTTCTTTAAATTTCATTATTCTTGCTGTTAGATGACGCACTAACGTTATACTAATTTGATTCAACGGTTAGACTGTGTCTATTGTACTGTGAGGGAACCTGCACAAAAATGAGCAGAGTGAAGAAGTGAAAGTGTTCAACAAAGAATGGACTGCAAAATACTTTTTCACAGAAGTTGGAATAAAGGCTATATGTTTAATTTGTAAGGAAAGTGTCGCAGTGCTCAAAGAATACAATCTCAGTCGGCATTTTTCTACCAAACACTCTAACTATGCTAGCAATCTGTCATGCGAGGAGCGGAAAAGTTTCATTCTGTGAAGCTGGATGAATTCTTTTCATCACTGAACGAGGCCAAGATTCAACAAAGCAGCACAAAAGATCCTGGTGTCATTCGGATCTACTTACGTGTACTGTATGAGCAAACATTCGGCTTCATGAACATCAACAAGTCACGTCACAGATCACAGCTGAGTGACCACCACTTGAGCTGTGTATTATGGATCGCCACAACACAGCTGTCAACTGATTTTGATGCTCTCGCAAAAAGAGGTGATCAGCTGCACGGCTCTCATTAATCAAGAAGCCTTTTGGGCGAGTTCTTTTCTCACTGGTTTTCATTAACCTTGAACTAATAAGCCTATGTTAGATTTTAAACTTATATAGCAGATTGGCTATCCGTAACAGCAGCATGAAGTGGTCCGCAATACAGTTTCAAAACTTTATGCGGCCCTTTGGCCAAAAGAGTTTGCCCACCCCTGCATTATAGTATGTTAGGTTTACATCAGATGTAATGCTTTACATTAAGAACAAACAGTTCCAACTTCATTTTGTCTGACCAGAAAATCTCTTGCCTCATGTTTGCAGTATCACTTTGGTACTTTGTTGCAAACCACACAAAGGTTTTGAGATTTTTTTTTTCAGTTCCACACAAGGTCCCTTTGTAGAGTGAGCTATAGACATTTTCTCCTGACTTTGTCACAAAATTCTGTAATTGTCATTGACCTCACAGTGGCATCCCTAACTAGCTTCCTCCTTGCCCAGCTGCTAAGTTTGGTAGGACAGCCCGATGTAGGCATTGTCTGGGTGCTTCCACTTCTTATTGATCAACTTCTCCTTACTCGAAGAGAAATAAGAGGTCTCTGAAATGACTTTACATGTTTCTCATGGTCTATGCCTTTATACAACTTTATCCCCAAGTTGTTCTTCCATCTTTGTGGCTGAATCTTTGCTTGAGACTTACTTCCTGACTAAAGGACCTTACAGAGATAGGTATATTTACTCTACAATTATGTGAACCACTATTATTGCACACAGATAGAGACCACCCAACTAATTATGTGGCACATTAAAGTAATTTTGTGCACCTAAATTAATTTAGGTTTGCCACAGTGTGGCTTAACCAATCAAGTCTTTTCTGTTTTTCTTCTGCATTTAGTTCTTTTGTTTCAAGGTGTTATGACTGCAGACTTGAACAAAATGTGAAAACCAGGGAAGTGTCTGAATACTTTTGCAAGGCATTTTAAGTGTTCCCCATCTGAAATATGCTAAGATCCTGAAATATGCATTTCTAAATTAAGAGTTTACTTGAAGTGGTTTGTCTACTTTTAGAAGTATTTGGGAAGGGGAATTCATTTTCTTTTGAAGAGGATATAATCTATATATTTAAATAGTTTCTGTTTTTTTCCATAAAGCATTAATGCTAACAATTTAAAGCACCTTCTAAGCACATACAGTATGCTTTCAAGCCAAAAATTGAAAGACAGATTCACACTGTGGCAGCATTAACTCGGATCAGGTAATACTCCATAGCAAAATGCCATACATTTTTGCATGAAATTTGCTGACTCTTTGCCTTCGTCTACAGTGGTGAAAACAATCATTCATTATGGCCATTTGATCCTTCAGAGTAAGTAGGCGCCAGGAGGTAAAGCACAGCTGATAAATACATTAATGATTAATATCTACTTATCTTCGTAAAACAACACTCTCACTCCCCATAAAATCACACATGCAGTTATATAAACTTAAACTGAACACTTATCTCTCTGACACCCATTCACATCTGAATACAATTGGAGAGGCTGTAGCAGTTGCACTGGGGTAAGTTATTGGCCTTAGGTAAGACCTTACAATGATCCTTAAATTATAACCTTTCCATTGTCCATGAATGGTTTCATCAATTTGCAAAGACCTTAAGTTCTCTTCCCCACAAAACTCTTTAACATTAAGAAGTCCCACACACACTATGAAACACATTTTTAATGTGTTGTTGTTTGTTTTTGTGTACTGTTATTATATGCATTTATTTATATATTGTAGCGCTTTCAAGTTCATGTGGGCATGCGCCCTCACCTCTGCCGCCTCAGGTCAGCCCCTCACCATCAGGGACTCAAACCCAGGCCTCCGGTGTCACTCAACAGGGACTCAGCCAGCTGAGCTAAAGGGAGATCTCCCATCAGCCCAATGGCTGCGGTCCCTGCTATCCACAGGGAAGGGCGGTGACATCACCACGCTGGTAAGACGGCTCAAACAACCTGCAATGGTGGCCATATGCGTTACACTCTCCCCCGCTTAATTCACCATTTTTGGCGAAGGGCTATCCCATCCCACAGCTGAAACCAATGTAGAGCTCCGGGGTTACTTGGGTCTGCGCCCTCACTGTTGCTGCCTCAGGCCAGCTCCCCCTCCATCTGGGACTCAAACCCGGGACTCTTGCATCACTCAACAGGGACCCAACCACTTGACCTAAAGGGAGATTTCCCCTGAGGTGGCAGTGGCGAGGGCGCATACCCACGTGAACCCCGGATTATAGTGTGAATGTACTGCATGTGTATGGTACTTATGGTTCAATATACTGTATTCCCTGTCATGCACAAAGAGGAGTGTGTGTCAATTAAATTCCTTTTTTGCTGACTACAAAATTGTAATCATCTTTTGGGAAATACACTATTTACAATTAACTACATTATTTTAATTTAGAATTCTAACCTGCATTCACAAATGTTATTGTAATGACACGGAAAGAGAAAGGTCACAATTGCAATGAAATGAAGTTCAGGTGGGTAGCTGCGTCAGCATGCGTAGGCTACAAAGGAACAAGTAATAGGTTTATTCCATGCTGAAAAAAAGAAGAAAGAGAAGCAATGAAATATTCAATGTTATTATTAAACATTACTGTCAATGTATAGAGCTTCCTTTGTGAAGGATAAAAGTGTCACAGTTCAGTTAACTTTCCATCTTAATAGATGCATTCGTCCAGTAAATTAAAGACCATTTATGAAAACTACCAATATCTTGCCAATTGTCTATGATATCTTGCAATATTGCAACACTTGTAAAGTGAGTAAAGTATGTATACCATAGAAGCCATATTAAATATGTATAGAAAAAAATTGAGTCTGTATATAAATTATATTTATACAGTACATATTAAACACTGCAAATTAGAGTCTCACATCACAATGTGGTACATTATTTTATACTAAAACTATTATCATAGTCCTGTGGGTACAATACAATGCAGAGGATTACCAACCAGCTTTAAAATATTGTGGATTAAAATATTTTTAGGTTGTTGAGAAACACTAAAATTCCACCAGAAGGGGAAATGCTTGAAATTAGGGGTTTGCGGTCGGATGTGCAAGGATGTCCTAAAATGGACACCGCAACACTAACAGTGTGTGCGCCTTTCCTAAAGGATGCAGTGTTGAGCCAGGTTAAGGGAGGGAGAGATTTGAAGGGTTGGATTACACACATCCCAGATTTGAAACCCTTTTACTCGACTCTTATCCTGCTTCTTCCTGAACAGCGGTGAAAGAAGCCAAATACGAAATAATGCTGTGATACTGTAAATTAGTGCCAAAAAGAAACAAAAAAGCAGCGCTCTTGATCGCGATAATGGTCTACAGATTAGGGGTATAAAATTAAATAGAACACGGCAATATATCCATTTAACATTTGCCTTAATCAGAAAGTTTTTAAAGTCATTTTAAAGTCATCATTGTGACAACCTGTACCTTATGAATGAGACTCTAAGAACATTTAGAAATTTTCTAAACATAAACGAAGAAGGAAAACTGGATATCTCCGATTAGGTATATTTTAATTTTTTGAATGGGTCAATAGTGCGGGGGTCGGAATCTGCCTGGATGGGATGTACAGTGAGTTTCATCTGCTGTGAAGACGACCTCTTACAGATGCCTTTCGATCAACATGAAAAGAAAAAGAAAGAAGAAACGCGGCTCTTGGTAAAGGTAAGGAGGTCGAGAGATAATACGGACAACACTGGAAAAAAATTTAGCTGGGTCTTGTGGGTTGAACGCGAAGATCGATAAAACGGCGGGGAGCAGGCAAATTGCAAAAGGTAAGACTGATGGTGCTGGATGACTTTTGTTTACCTGTCCAACAAACAGGCGTCTGGGGACTGGCTACTGTTATCTGTGTATGGCGTTGCGTTTTAATGCATTATGCAATGCGTATCACATTTTAAGTATGGGGTTTCGATGAAGAATTGAAACACTTAGTTCCGGTTCTGTATTTAGTTTAAGTTTGAAAAACAGTACAACAACCAGAACTCAATACCCGTGCTGTCATCCTCTTGTGAGCATGTGCTGTTGTTTGTACTGTCTTAAACCTATTTATGCTGTTTTCAAAAATAAGCGTGGGAGGGATAATTAGGTAGATCGATTAAATTAGTGTAATTATATTTAAGTTATCTCCCTCACTTTGAAACACGAACTGATAATTGAGCATTCTTCAGACTACATGTATGTGGTGAGCTCTGACTTCAATGGTAGATATTAAAGGAATCACCTAATGCAGTGATTTAATTTATATTTCATAGTGCACACTTACGGAGCACTGTCTCCATTTGTTTGTTTCCCAGTAGTTATGAACAGCTCTAAATTATTCTAATTAAGTAATAGTTGTGGAGTGAGTTTCCATGTATTTTTTCATGTCATTTATCATCAATGTGCTCATTATAGGAGGTAAGCTAGACTATACAAAAAAAAACCTTGAAGAACTGGTCTAACCACTTTAACATAACTGATATTTATAAAATTGGAAACAATTTTTAAGATTTTAAGTGTGCAATTGAACTTCTAGATAGCTTCTCTACTGTAGGTATTTCAAAGGTTTGTAGACCTTTCCAGGTTTGGATGGAAAATTAAGTGAAAATGGAAGTAAATCCAAGTACTGGAGACTGAAGTGTGTGCTATGCTTTGCTACACTTCACAAAACATAAAAGAGAAGATGCATTGCATTTGTTGACCAGTAGCTTAGACTGCTTATTACAGTGCATATATGATATTTATATATATAGTATTTAAATTATAGAGGTGTATAGTTTATGATACAGTCAGTTTTAATTATCACTTCGTAAAGTACATTTTTATGTTGCTGATTATAAAAGCTTTTTTTCCTGTGTCCGCATGGGTTTTTTCCAGGTACTCCAGCTTCCTCCCACTGTCCAAAAAACAAACACCGGTAGGCTAATTGGCTTCTGAGTGATCTGGCCCTAGGTATGAGTGTGTTTGGGATAGAATTTCACTTGGTATCGCATCTACTGGTGATACATAGCATTTAAAAAAAAATCCAAATTTTCTGCATTGCTGGAGTGATTTTCAGTGTTTCAATAGCATAAGTCTCAAATATCATAGGTCACACTTTAAAGCAAGACAATCAATGTACAGTCTGTAAATAGCCAATAGCAGAGGGCATTTGCTCATAAGCAGAGAATGTGATGATCTATGAAAAAGGAAAACAAAACATTTGATTACTGTAATTAAGGTGAGTTTGGAACAGTTTTAGCAAGCCCTTGCATTTGAACAACAACAACAAACATTTAAATTATCCCAATGAAAAATGTGCATTGCTCATCAAGTACTACACTACATAACTATTAAGAACAAAATAGCATTATGGCTGTTAAATGGCCACATATTAGCATATATTTCATAAAAAAATATGCACATTGAGTTTTGACTAGTTTCATTCAAATTAGATATTATGGGACCTTTTAATTGACCATGTTATTTTCCATCTTATATTTTGTTTAAACTGCTTAATGCAGTGCATAAGCAGCATGTACCCAACACCTATTATAGGAATTCTTGACTTTCCAAAGCCCAGGACAGAGATAACCAGAACGGTGCTTGCTGATGATATGCGTGTCTCCTTAGACACCATTTGTACTGTTTATTTTTAAGAGTTATTCTTATTCATTTAATTGTCACTTTAACCTTAGAGTTATCAACCATAAACAAGATCGTGCTTGCTTGCTCATTAGCATTAATGCTACAGTATGTGATTGTTAGCTGCTGTATACCATTATGTCTCTTACAGCTTGACTTCCCTCTGTATGCTCAAATTTTACATTGAACCCTTTGGATTTGACAAATACAAGATGCTGTAAATTTAAAGGACATTGAGATAAAGCTCCTGCAGGTTTTGGTCGGCTTTGATTGGAGTTTGTATTGTTAAACAGATAGCACCATTAAAAAAACAGCAAGTAGAATGCTAGTGTTACAGTACATCATGTGAAACTGCATCTTAATGTACAAGATAGTAAAGTACTTTTTGACAATATTACATTTAGTTGTAAGCATGTGAAATAATATGAGAGTTTGTCAATGCTAACGATTGCATCATGGAAGAAAACTATGTAGCTTACTAAATTGACTGCTTAGCTCTTACTGTACAATAGGTATTGAAATTATTCTTTCTCATTTGACCTAAGAATTCTGAACCTGCAGACTTAAGGTGAGCAGTGCTTTTAGGTGATTAACACTCAGAAGTACAAATCTATCCATCTTGTATACATAGTAGCTGCAGCATCTCCACAGTTTGTTATCTGGCCGGGGGACTACCATCTCTCTCTCTCTTTCTTCTGACTGTTGCTTTTCTGATGGAAGATAATATTGCTTTTCTGATGGAAGAAAATTTATAGATAAACTACTCAATGTGCAAAGTTATTGATCCATTTCTAACTGCTTTATCTAATACAGGGTCTTGGGGGAGCTGGAGCCTGTCCCAGAAAGCAATGCGTGTAAGGCAAGAAACATTCTGGATAGGGTTAGCCAGTCCATCACAAGACACAACCGCACACACTCACACTATGGCCAGTATTCCCAGAAGGCAATCAACCTTTCAAAAGGTCTTTGGACTATGGGAGGAAACCTACACAAACCCAGGGAGAACTTACAAACTCCACATGGATATCATCCCAGGCCTGAAATTGAACCCAGTGCCCCAGCACTGTGTGACAGCAATTCTAACCACTGTGCCACCGTGCTGCCCTGTACAAAGGTTTTTTCACGTAAATCTGTTAGAGCGTCACAATTTCTTAGAGAATTATGGACAAGCAAGCTTAATCATGAAAATAATATTCTGAAATTGGACCCGGAAAAGTCTAAGGTTAATAAGAGGTTAACACATACTTAAAGTATGGAGCTAATGTTGATGCTTTTCAGGAACAATCAACAGATTTGTATATCTAAACTTCAATCAGACGAAAACGTCTGCAGACTTTGTTGTCTTTAGGCAGCCAATTTGTCCTAGTTTGTAATCAGCACAGTAATGACTATAATTTTGTCATCGTTATAGGAAGACGTTTTGTAACCTGGTATGATTGTGTGCTGCTTGATGCTCCTTGATAGAAACTCTGCTATGGAATGATAAATAAATAGGGTAGATAATGTAGGATGGGACTCTTGGGCCAAGGGAGTGATATGGATGGCATCTAAAATTTGGTCTTTTATTGTGCAGTTTGGGTCTAGAGATTTTTACATCTGTTGTGATTAAGTTAACCAAAAAGATTAATTTTGTAATGACAGAGTTAGGTCACATGAGGCTGACGTATTTGAGCTAGTGTTCCAATGATTTCATTATAGCACTATAAAGCACCAGTAGTTTTTATTGATATTTTATAGTGAGCTGAAAATTATTTTACATTAGCGACTTTTATTTAGTTCATTTATAGTTCAGTTACAGTACGATTATAGTTTAGGAATCAACGTTATGATGCAAAGTAGGTATTGCTAACTTACAAGTCATTGGTAGTCATACCAAAGTTTTGTCACTTTTTACGTTTTATGTTTTGTCAGCATTATTTTAAAACATTTAAATAAAAAATGATATTAATACAATTATTTTTCTTCATATTATTAGTAGATGTAGTCATAGTAATAATATAATAATGTACAATAAATGTACAATATATCCATGTAAACTGGGGTTATTATCATACCTACTACACATTTGTGTTTAAACAAATATATTTTATGAAACAACTTAAAAGGAAATATATTTTATTTGCTTTACACATAAAGTGTTGGAGACGACACATTAAGTGAAACAAGTAAAGGTTTATTGAAAAGAAAAAAGACACAACGAGACACAACATTTTGGCTATAGAGTCTTCTTCAAGTGGTTAATTTCAGGTCAATTTCTATATAGAGTATGTGTGTCATCACAGCAATTTTAGCAACACCGGATTATTTATTTTATTTCCTTTTGTTATATTCATTACTAATACAGGACATTTTTATGTTGTTTCACTGCAATATATATTCTTTATGTTCTGTATATTTATGCTAAAATAACCTTGAGTAGTTTTTTTTTTAATCAAAAGCAGCATAGTTAACAAATTCACTCTAGCTGGACTTCTACTCATCACTATTGTCAAAACTAGAACATGCAAATACAAAGCATTGCAATAAATAATATTTCCTTGGACAAGAAGCTGAATTGTAATACAAATACTGGAAGGTGACAACCTTGAATTAATCTTTATAATTTCAGATACATTTGAAAGAAGAAATCATCCTGTTATTAAGTATTGTTGAGAAGTTGAGGCAGACTACCTGGGAAGAAAAACTGGACGTCCAGTACTGATGAACATGAGACATTTACTATTATTTTTTTAACTCAAATCTTAATGAAAAAATATTAAGAGAAAAACTTTTACATCAAAGTTTTTAACTTTCAGTTAATCTTTTAGGTCATTCCAGTCAAAGCAGTAGTGTCATCTGAATCAAATTTTGTGGGCCAAATATGTTACACTCCATATACTGTACACTCCGTAACATATTATCCGTATATCAGAGCATTTTCAGTCACTAGAACTGATCCCAGTCAAGCATTTATTCTTGACCCCTGAGATTGAGATGACACCTTCAACCAGTCGAAGGCCGACTTTCTTGTGGAAGAACAGTGCTGCCTTCTGTAGAATATAACCTTCCTGTAGTGTACA